GGCCGGTTCGCTCACTGGGTGAGCGTGGTGCTGACAACACCAAGCCAAGTGTTAAGATCCCCTTACCGGTCATCTTTTAAAAAAAAAAAAAAGAAGAAGAAGAAGTACACACACAGAAATGAGCTTACATGATCTGGTATTGGAGAGTGAAGATCTGTGAGTAAAGCAAAATAGAACGGACTCCCCTAATTCCTTTAAACTGGTCCCAGAACAGGAGAAATGTCTCAGGACCCTCATTTCTCCAAATGTCAGATGCCTGGGCAGCGGGGGAAGGCAGGTGAGGCACTCGTGTGACACTGAGAGTGGGGTCTTAAAATTTACACCCCGGGTGCCTCACTCAGCCTCCCCCATGCAGGGCAGTATAAACATTGTCTTTCATTTTGGCCTTAACTTGAAGTGCAGATTAAAAAGCTACAAACTCAACTGAAGTTTGCAGCCATTTGAACAGCTCTCCTTTGTTAGTGACTCACAGCTGAGCATGAAATTAACAATGAAGAATTCACTCTTGGCAAGAAGTGAAATATGAAAGCCCGACTGCTGACTTCCTCATGGATAAGGTTATTTTCCTCAACAGAGAGCCTTAGGTTGCCAAAGAAACCAATTGCAGGGTTCCGAAGCATTTAGAATCAGACTCTTCTGTTGGCATTAGCTTAGCCTGCTGATCCCGAGCAGGATGTGAAATTCTCTGCTGGTGGTTTTGGTTTTAATCCACTGAAGCCACAGGCTGAGGACTGAGAGAGGGCTCATGGCCCTTTTGTGTTGCTGATTGGGTCTTATCTTTTGGAGAGACCCCGCAGTTATTCAGAAGAAGTCAGGACTCTAATTTTCCTGTGTCTGTGCAGGGGCCTGTCTCAGTTTCTTTAGGTCACCCGAGGCATCAGCTGGCCTTCCCTGCCCTGCCACCTAGGGAATGGTGTTCTGCAAGGCAGCAGCTTTCGCCTGCAGGCTCTCTCACTCCCTGTTACAGGCTGAAATAAATGCATGCACTACAAGTGTGGAAAATGCACATCTGGGCTAAATCCAGGACAACCTGAATGAACAAAATTCAAAGCTCAAAGGGATTACCTGACCTGAAAACTACTTGTCCCTGTGCCTTCTCCTTTCTCCCTTAGACCCAAGATTGAGAAGAGGAGCTTGAACCCAATAAAATACTTGGCTTCTACCACCCTGCCTTGCACAGATGTGTAGAGGAAACCCCCGAGACCCTTGAATGCCGAGTTCTTTGCTGGGATTCTTCTAGGAATGCATCCACAGTGCGGAAATGGATAGGATGCCGTGAAGCTATTTACACCAAAGGACACATGGCATTCGTGTGTGATTTCCCCATGCGCACTGTGCCACCCCTCCCCAGGCCATTTTTCAAGTTAAAAGCATTTTTATGGCTCTCTTGATGGCAGTCACTTCTGGATTTTTCCTCTTCTCTGTGCCATCTTCTCTCTTGGCACTCTCCCTGGCTCTGATCTCTGGCAAGGGAGCCAAGGAAAGACCGGAGAGGAATGCGGGATTCGGCTTCTCAAGGGGTGACTGCTCCAAGGGCATAGCTGCTTATTCTAGCCTTTGCCCTGGGCACTGGCTGAGGTTCTCTTTCGCAAACTGTAACCCTATGTGAATACTTTGTAGACTGCGGGACTCTAAATTAATTCACAAAAAGTCTCTCTCTCTTTTTTTTTGATGGGTAAGGGGATTGCAACCCTTGGCACAGTGTGCTCTGCACCACGCTCAGCCAGTGACCGCACTGGCCATCCCTATATAGGATCTGAACCCGGGGCCTCAGTGCTACCAGCGCCGCACTCTCCCGAGTGAGCCACGGGGCCGGTCCCACAGACAGTCTCTTTGATCATTACTGCTCGTGTCACTTTCTTTTCTTTCTTTCTTTCTTTTTTTCTATTTTTTTTTTAAGCTTCTGGCCAGCACAGGGATCAGACCCTAGGCATTGCTGTTATCGGCAACATGCTCTAACCAGCTGAGTTAACCAGCCAGCCCTGTGGTCATCACTTCTTTTCAAAACGAGTCTTGATTCACTTTGGACTAAGCCAGTAAGGCTGGGCTATTTTCAAGTGAATAAACTGAGATGCAGATTCTAAGGGCTTAGTCCAAAGTTACACAACTACTTAGGGTCTTGATTTGTCAAACTCAAAGTCCAGTGCTTTTTCTCTGCCTCAGTTTCTTCAACTGTAAAATGGGGGTGTTAATAGCATGTACTTCGTAGAGTTATTGTGAGGGTTACTGTTGAATCCTTTAATATGTGTAAACTGTCTAAAACAGGGCCTGGTGCATAAACAGTGTTCAGTAAATTTCCATAAATATCACTGTGGAGTGCCTGGTTTTTCTTTACGGTTCCAAGCACTGGACTCACAACTCCTTCATGGAGGGAATTACCAATTCTAGGTTTGGGGAGTGTTATCCAGAATGGAGACTGAACCCACTTCCCAGGCTCAGAGCAGGCCAAGATGGGACCAGGACAGATACCTTGTAAGCAACAGAACTGAGCTGCCACTGGGCCGGCCCGTGGCTCACTCGGTAGAGTGCGGTGCTGATAACACCAAGGCCCCGGGTTCGGATCCCACATAGGGATGGCCGGTTCGCTCACTGGCTGAGCGTGGTGCTGACAACACCAAGTCAAGGGTTAAGATCCCCTTACTGGGCATTTTTTAAAAAAAAAAAAAAAGAACTGAGCTGCCACTGGGCCGGCCCGTGGCTCACTCGGTACAGTGCGGTGCTGATAACACCAAGGCCCCGGGTTCGGATCCCACATAGGGATGGCCGGTTCGCTCACTGGCTGAGCGTGGTGCTGACAACACCAAGTCAAGGGTTAAGATCCCCTTACTGGTCATCTTTTAAAAAAAAAAAAAAAAAAAAAAAGAACTGAGCTGCCAGAGTTGCATCCCTGCCTTAGGCCCTGGCTAAGAAAAGTCTCACATGCAGATAAACCCATAAAGGGGAGGGATGACCCCTTTACAAAATGCCCAGGGCAGGAAGAACAAAGGCTTCTGAACAGAGCCCAAGATTGTAAGGCAATATTTTATTCTGTGACATTCTGAAGGCCTTCTATTTTGAGGTGGTTCAGGATTCTTCATGACTTCTATTTTACCTTTACCCAGCAATTACAAGGTGGGACCTGTGTGTGGTGCAAGGAGTACTGAGGAGGATACCAGTCCCCTCCCAAAGGTGTGTCTGGGGCCTTCTAGTGGTTAGGGCCAGAAGCTGGAGGAGAGCTCTGAGCTCTGTCAGGGAGCCCTAGTGCTTGGGAAAGGGTGCCGGGGTCAGGGACTTGCCCTGCAGCTCAGGCCCTCCTCAGCATCAGTCAGTATAAATGACAGAGAAGGGGACCACGGAGAAAACCAAGGCAATTGCACAAAGACACATTTAGCACCAGCTCTGTTGGTTATGGCTGAAAAGGGGGTGATGAAAAATGCAAAATATAATCAGGAAAGAGACTCTATAAAATAGCTTTACAAACCTAATCAAGGGAACTGGACACCCCAAACCGTACTTTGAACGTTGTTGAAAAGTTGTCGAAGTCATGTTCCAGCAGTTGAGATTTTTGCTGATCAGTCCACCCTCTCAGGAAAAAACTACCAGATCCACAAATAAAATAAAAGGTTAAAAACACAAATGTCTGTAATTAAGCTTTGGAATGACGTCTTCCACCTGCCCAAGCTTCCCACTGTATTGTGTGTTTTTATCAAGAGCAGACCCCGGCTCAGCCTGGCCCGATTTCCTTTCCTCTGCGTTGACTCTTGGCATGGAGGCCTTTCCAAAGTTTCCAGGGTACAGTTTCCCAGGTCAGGCAGGGGTTGAATGTCTTGATCTTATCTCGGGTTGAGGCTCTCCTGACTTTAGGGCTACATGAGCTGTCCGAAGGAGCCATAAACAGCATGTATAGAGATCGGAGCGCTTTGAAAAGACCTACTTGAGAGGGATGGCGACATCCCGGCCAGTCAGTCACCAGCATTAACTAGTTAGTCTTACCGACCCCTGGGAGATGGGCTTAGCACAGCACCTGGGTTTCGGGCTCTGCACACCTCCTGAGCCTCCCCGACCTGCTCCGACTCAGGGGGCCGCGGGGCGCCCCTCCTCTCGCCCCCTCTGCGAGTTTCTGACGGCTGACGTTTGCAGAAGTGAGGAGGTGGGGCTGAGGAGGGCTTCCTCCGGCCGGGAAGCTACCAGGGCGGGGGGCCACGCTTTCGGATGTCTGGGACAATGGCCGGCGGGAGGAGGCAGCTCTCTGCGCGGTAATCCGAGCCGGGATAAACAGGAACGGAGGGGCCAGCGCCTCCTCCGCCAGGCGCAGCCCCCCCGCAGCCCCGCGCCTCGCTGTGGGCGCGGTCCAGCGCCGGCCGGCCCCGCCCCCT